TAACTCCTTTTCTAAGGGATCTGGGTGTCTGTATCCATTTGCTCTCACACACAAGTAACACACACACATGCAAACTCATACACAATTAAAACATAATAAAAATAAATCTTTTTAAAAAGTCAAGGAATCAGTTTCATTTAGAGACACTAGCGACTGAGTAAAGACATAAAGGGACTTTTGGAAGATGGCTTCCTTTGTTTTGTTCAAGATGAGGGACTGTTGGGTCCTAGGCTGGCCTTGAATTTGGTTTGTAGACAAGGCTGGTCTTATGTTTCTTATCCTTCTGCCACGGCCTCCCAAGTGCTGGGATTATAGATGTGCACTAGATTCCAGCTTTTTTTTAAATTTGTTTGTTTGTTTGGTTTATTTCCCCACTCAAGGCCAGGATTTCATTTATTTTAGACAAATGCTTTATCAATGGATCTATACTTTTAGCCTGTATGTTTATTTTTCCCCCAAACAAGGTCTTCCTTGTAGCCCAGGCTAGACTTGAACCTTTGATCTTCCTGGAGTTTATGCACATGTGAGAGGGTGTCCGTGGAGGCCAGAAGCATTGGCCTCTCCTAGAGCTGTAGTTTCAGTTGTGTTAGCTGCCCCATGTAAGTGCTGAGAACTAAACTCGGGTTTAGCAGTGTGTTCTCTTAACTGCTGAGACATTTCTCCAGCCCCCATCCCATATTTATTTATTTTTTGGTTTTTCAAGACAAGAGTTTCTCTGTGTAACCTTGACTGTCCTGGAACTCACTCTGCAGACCAGGCTGGCCTCGAACTCAGAGATCCACCTGCCTCTGCCTCCCTAGTGCTGGGATTATAAGTGTGTGCCACCACTACCTTGCCCAGATTTTTTTTTTTTTGTAAATACAAGTAAAATTCATATGACATAAATTTAGCATGCTCTGTTTTTGAGTTTCAGTGCTGGTGACATGGGGTATATTCTCTTGTGAAATCTCTTTGAGGTGAATTTTGGTGTACTATCCAGTCAGTATCTTTGATACTTTGATAAATATTTACTTGAAAAAGAGGTGGGGCCATCAAGATAGCCCAATGAATAAAAGGTACTTCCCAGAACCTATATGGTAGAAGGAGATAAACGACTCTCACAACTTCTCCTCTGACCCCTGCACTCTTCTGCATGGCACATGCCCGGTATACACAAGCACATACAAAATAAATGAAACATGTTAAAAATGTAACAAAGAAGAAGTGGGTACATGTTCTGGCAGGAGTGACTCAGCATCGTTCTGACCCAGGTTGAAGTGCTGGCCGTCCTGTTTCTCACTGTGACCTCAGACAAGTCATTTCCTCCCTCTGAGCTTCCTTATTTGTAAAGGATGATGGTATCAGTCTCGAAAAGCTCACATTCAAGGGCTGGGGAGATGGCTCTGAGGTTAGGCAAGAACTGTTATGGCATGGGAGGCTCGCAACAGTCTGTATGTCCAGATCCACATGACCGAAGCAAGGTCTAGCTTTTGAGTGTCCTTATACTCAACACTGCAGGTGCACATACCCATACACAGATACACATAACTTACAAAAATTAAAGCTCACATCTGACAAATATTTCCTGAGTGCTGACTGTGTGCTAAATGGGGTGGGGGAAGAGAGTAAATGTGAGTTCTGTCCTCCTGCCACTCGCAGTCTGGGAAGGGGGGACAGGTCCTGAATTCAAAGGGACATTATGAATTTGTGCGGAAGACTGGGCAGAGACAAATACACTGGATGAAGAATGACCAGTTGAACAAACATGCCATTCTTCACAGGCTGCAAAAATCAGGGAAGGCTTCTCTAGGGAGGTAACTGTTGCAACCTGAAGCATGAGAAGAACACAGAGGATTGTACCAAGTAGAAGGAACACTTTGGACAAAGGCAAGGCTAACAAGAAGCCATGGGCCGCTGCACACATATAATCCTGGGACTGGTTAGGCACACACAGGAAGATTGCTTGCTACAGTTTGAAGCCATCCTGGGCTACATAGTGGACTCTGTGTGAGGGAAACTGGGTTCATGGAGTGGGAAGGATAAGGATGCTCCTTGGGCATATAGTGTTGGCAGTCACTAAGTGCCCAGGCTCTGAGGTCCCACACTTGGCTTAATGCTCTCCTTACTGTGCCTGTCCTGAAACTCCTGCTTTAAAAAAGGGATATTGTGCAAGGTGGTGGTAGCACAAGCCTTTAATCCCAGAACTCAGGAGGCAGAGGCAGGGGGATCTCTGTGAGTTCAAGGTCAGCCTGATCTAAAGAGTGCATTCCAGGAGAGCCAGGGCTGTTACACAGAGAAACCCTGTCTTGAAAAACCAAACGGAGTCGGGGAAGGGAGACATTGCATCTGCATTTCTTATACCTTATGTGTTGTAATCCCATTATGAAAAAGAATCTTATTTTTTTCCTTTGAGATTTTATTTTGAGGGCTAGAAGTTTGCTCAATTGGTAGAGGACTTGTCTAGCATGCACAAGACCCAGGATTTGATCCTTGGTGCCACATAAATCTGGGTGTGGTGGCACAGACCTATAATCTCAGTTGGGAGGTAAAGGCAAAAGGATCAGACATTGAAGGTCATCCTTAGCTACATAGTTGATTCAAGACCAGCTTAGGCCACATGAGACCTGTCCAATAAAACAATGCCTCATATATACTTCCACTTATTTTGACATTTCACTACATATTAGCTCTGCTCCTAGATCCCTGATTTTTTTTTCTTCTTCCTTTGCTGAGAATGGAACTCAGCACCATACACATAAGTGCTCTTCCACCAAGCCATGCCTCTGGCTCTAAATTATTTTTCCTTCATTTTATTTATCTTTTTAAGAAGATTTATTTAGTAGGATGGTAGTGATACTCGCCTTTAATTCCAGCACTTGAGAGGCAGGGGCAGGTGGATCTCTGTGAGTTTGAGGCCAGCCTGGTCTCCAGAGTGAGTGCCAGGACAGCCAGGGCTACACAGATAAACTGTATCTTCAAAAAACAAACAAAAAAATGGATAAATCAGTTTTTGTGTGTTTGTTGCCTGCATGTATGTGTGTGCACCATATGTGTAACTGTTGCCCATGAAGGTCAAAAGAGGGCATTGAATTTTCTGGGATCAGAGATACAAATATAGTTGTGAAACACAGTGTGGGTGCTGGGAATTGAACCCAGATCCTCTGAAAGGGCAGTAAGTACTCCTAATCTTTGAGCCATGGCTCTAGCTTTTATTTACATATATATTTTTAAGATAAAGTCTCATGTATCCCAGGCTGGTCTTGAACTTGCCATATATCTGATGACGACCACGAACTCCCAATTCTTCTGCCTTTTGCCCCTGAGTCCTGGAATTACAGGTGTGCAACATCATGCCTGGTTTTTGCAGTGTTGGATAGAGATGGAATTCACGCCTATTACTGGATTACACCTCAGCTCCATTTTTTATTTATTTTGATTTTTTTTTCTTTTTGAGACAGGGTTTCTCTGTATAGTCCTGGCTGTACTGGAATTCACTCTAAAGACCAGGTTGTCCTTGAACTCACAGAGATCTTCCAGCCTCTGCCTCCCAAGTACTAGGATTAGGATTAAAGGTGTGCTCTACCACTGTGAGGTGGGAACCTGCTTTTTTTTTTTTTTTTTTTTTTTAAGATTTGTTTATTATTGTATACAGTATTTTGTCTGCATTCATGCCTGTACGCCAGAAGAGGGCACCAGATTTCATTATGTATGGTTGTGAGCCACCATGTGGTTGCTGGGAATTGAACTCAGGACCTCTGAAAGAACAGCCAGTGCCCTTACCCTCTGAGCCATCTCTCCAGCCCCCAGAGCCTTGTTTGTTTGTTTGTTTGTTTGTTTTGTTTTGTTTTGTTCTCCCCCTCCCAGAGGGGATTTCTAACAGCTCTGGCTGTCCTGGAACTTGCCAGAGATCCGCCTGCCTCTGCCTCTCCAGTGCTGGGATCAAAGTCGTGTGCCACCACTGCCTGGCCTCAGGAACCTGTTTTCAAATACTGCTTTCCCTGACTACTTTTTCTCCAGGCTTCGATTTCTCACTCCCCAACAGGAAGTTCTAGGATTGCCTCCAAATCATCATTTTATACTAAAATTTATTTGTTTTTGTTTTCTTGGTTCTGTCATAGAGGTTAGCCTCTAGCCTTGGTGGGAAACAAAAAACAGTGGTTCATTTTCAATACAAAAGTCCCTTAGATGGGCTTAGGTTTCAGATAAGTAGGAGGCATTGGGTTCCTTGTTATAACAGCTTGTGCCTTCTTGTGTGGCCTTTCAGCTAACCTTTTCAAACTAAAGGTTATCTCAGGATTGGAGATACAGGCAGCTTGCTACATTATGACTAAGACCATACATTGAAAAAAGTGGGAAAGGGGGGCTGGAGAGATGGCTCAGAGGTTAAGAGTATTGACTATTCTTCCAGAGGTCCTGAGTTCAATTCCCAGCCACCACATGGTGGCTCACAACCATCCGTTATGAGATCTGGTGCCCTATTCTGGTGTGCAGATATACATGGAAGCAGAATGTTGTATACATAATACAATAAATAAATAAAATATTTTTTTAAAAGAAAAAAGTGGGAAAGGGCTTTTGAATAGAAACATTAAAAAAAAAGACAGTTTTTCTCCCAACTCAGCACACTTGCCATTTTTGTTGGCATTTGACCTTGCAAGACTGTAAATAAACTGGACCTCCCCCTCATTCTGCATCTCTGGTTTTGCATTGTTACGAAGTGGCAGTCGCAGTACCCACAGCTTCAAAGCAGTCCTCCTCCCTGGAGCTTCCAATGCTACCATTATGCGTGTGAGCCCCACATCCAGCTTTATTTATTCTGTCATGCTTGAGTCAGGATCATGAGCTTTGGCTGGGCAGCAGTGGTGCCGCCTTTAATCCCAGCACTCGGGAAGCAGTGGTAGGCAGATCTCTGTAAGTTCAAGGACAGCCAGAGTCAGTTCCAGGACTGCCAGGACTACACAGTGAGGCCCTGTCTCAAAAAGCAAACAACCAAACAAAACAAAGCAATGCTTCTTGTCAAGTAGGTTCTCTGTTGCATTTTAATCTGAGTTGGCTTTTGAGTAAAGTCAAAGTGTGATGATGCTCACAGATACTTCTTTTCAGAGGTTCCTTTATTGGAGGTCAGTGGATGCTCAGAGCATCATCCAGGATAGCACCTCCTGGCTCTCCAAGGCTCCCTCAGAGGAGTTCTTAATTTTCAGCCTGGAAGAGATAAGAGAATATGAGACTCAGGGAGAATGCATGGTTGGATCTGCCCTCCTTGCTGTGGAATCTTGGATGTGGGACAGGAATGGAGGAGTGGACAAAAAGATGACTGTAGCTGGGTGTCATGGGGGAACATCTGTAATCCCAGCACTTGGCCAAATGATTTTGAAAGTTCAAGGTTAACATTGAGCCAGCCATGATGGTCCATGCCTTTAGCCTTTAATGCCAGCATTTAGGAGGCAGAGGCAAGTGGAGTGGGGGGGAGGAGGGGAGGCTTGGGAGGCCAGGGTGGGTATTCACAGCAGGGGCGGGTGTGGGGTTTGGGAGGTCAAGGTGGGTATTCATACTATGTGGTCTACTGCCAAGAGTCAGGAAAACAGTCAAGCTAGATAAGAAGGTTTTGCTAGGCAGGCAGTGACAGCACTTGAAGAGCCAGCCTGGTCTACATAGCTAGTACTAGGACAGCTAGGGATACACAGAGGAACCCTGCCTCAGAAACAAACAAACAAACAAACAAAAAAACCAAATCTAAATATTCCCTGAAGGAAAGAATTAGGGCCCCTTCATCAAGGTTGGTTAGATGGAAGCTTAAACAACTGGTGGGGGGTAAAATGGGGGACAGGACTGACCAACACAGCTGCCAGAAATTGCCCAGAGGGGATTCTCTGCCCGTGAGATGTCTACAAGTCATATGGGGGCTTCAGGGTTTCAGCTTTCATGATTCATCACCCATGTTGAGGTGGCCATTCCCATGGCACAACTGTTTTTAAGTCATCCCTGATCCTGTAAGGAGCCCCTCATCCATACTCCTGTAAGTAACCCCAATAAAAACAACCAAGTTGGACTTATAGAGAATTGTTACTTTGGAAGGCTCTCTATTTGAGGTGTGTGCCCCCCCTCCCCCAGGAAGTCTCTCATTGGACATGAGTGTCAGGGAGCATCAGAAAGGCAACAGTGGTCTGCTATACAAGTTGGGAGAGACTTTCGGTGGGTGTGGCCTGATTTGGGGAAGAGAGCCGGCAGCTGGAGGTCTGTGATCTAACAGGTCTGAGTAATGAAGGTCAGACTGAGGTTATAAGTCAGATGGGTGCCAGCAAAGGTGGTAGGAGTTAGGCAAAAGACAAACTGGCTGGGGCAGGGCCAAGACTGAAGTTGTATCGTCAGAATAGACAGGACAGACGATGTCATGGGCAGTGACTGAAGGCTGGACCTGGCTCATGCTTTGAATGCGCAGGGGAGACAGGCTAAGCTCAGGCACAAGGACAGGCAGGCTCACCTCTGCGAAGTGAGGCCAGGTGCGCAGCAGGTTGAAGAGCGCGTCCCCGGGGCAGTCGCTGTGCACTAGTTGACGGTGGCCGAGCACCTTGTAGTCTGGCTGCAAGTGGCCTGAGCGAATGGCGCAGCTCGGGAGCACGTCGCGCACCGTGTTTAGCGCCGTGTCGCTGGGCAGTGACCCAGTGTAGTTGCCCACGATGGCCACGCCGAAGCCGCGGGAGTTGTGGCCGCGCGTATGCGCGCCCACCCAGCGCCAGCCGCGGCCCTCGTACACGTAGCCGTCGGAGCCTACCACAAAACTGCGGAGGGGATGGGACATAAGTGCAGCAGGGTGGTTACGCCCCTCACCCGGCCACGCCCCAGATTCTGTCCCTGTGCCAAATGACACCAAGAGCCAGAGGTACACTGTTTCTGTTTCGTCCAATTCAGTCATTTGAGCACCACGTGCCACCCCAGAAACCGTTCTCTCTTGCAGAATGGTGGAGGATGCTTTAGTCATAGCATTCAGAGAAAGAAGCAGGCGGAAGAACTCTTGAGTTCGAGGCCAGCTTTTTCCACATAGCGAGCTCCAGGCCAACTATGAGACCTTGTCTTATTAAAATAAATAAATAAAATCAGCTGGGCGGTAGTGACACACACCTTTACTCCCAGCACTCGGGAGGCAGAGGAAGGTGGATCTCTGAGTTTGAGGCCAGCCCGGTTTACAAAGTGAGTTCAGGACAGCCAGGGCTACACAGAGAAACCCTGTCTCTAAAAACAAACAAAAAGCTTTACCTTTTCAGAATCCACCCCTAAGAACTGGTCAAGTCCCTTTGCACCTTTCTCCCCTCTCCTTCCCTTTCGGGATTCACAGTCCCGGACCTTGCTCCTCCTCTGGACCACGGCTTGGCTCTTGACCATGCCCACTCCTACTTCTACTTGCCAGTCTCCGCCCAATTGTTCTACTCCCTGCCTTCCAGCCTCTCCCACAGTGGCCTAGGCCAGGTCTACCTGTAGCCGATGTCATCCCAGTGACGCTCGTTCTGGTGGAATCGCTGCATGGAGCGCATGTTGGCAGCGCAGCTCTGGAAGGTGGTGCAAGGTGGCGCTGGCACATAGGTATGATGCACATATAAGAATCCGAGCGGCAGCCGGAGCGGCCTCGGGTTGCCTCGATAGGGCGCGGCTCCCCAGCGGCAACGAGGGAGAATGGCTGGGCATCCTTCAGGAGCAAGGGGGACTCTGATCATTAAGCATTGCCTTCTGGAAGACTGAATTTCTATTAAAGTGAGCCTCCAGGATTTGGCAAGAGTCTAGTTTTAGTCCAGGAAGGTGGCTCAGACGGCACACACACGACAGACAGACAGACAGCCTACTGTGTGCCCCGCCACTTCCAGGAGAAAGCCCAAACATTTAAGTATGATGGTGCATCGCTGTTAATCCCAGCATTTGAGAGGTTAAGGAAGAGGACTTTCAAGTTCAAGACCAGCCTGGGCTATTGTAGACCTTTTTTTCAATAAAACAGGTTAAAAAAAAGAGTCCCCGCTGGGCAGTGGCGGCGCACACTCGGGAGGCAGAGGCAGGCGGATCTCTGTGAGTTCGAGACCAGCCTGGTCTACAAGAGCTAGTTCCAGGACAGCCTCCAAAGCCACAGAGAACAAAAAAAAAAAAAAAAGAGAGAGAGAG